TGAAGATGTGTTTTTGTTTTTGTATTCTTGTTGTTTATAAGTTTTGAAAGACTCTGATGGCATCTGCTCATCTCTCAGAACAGTTACGACTGGTCACATGTCATGCTTACTCCCTGGCAAAGGCAGAACTTGAACAGCCCAGTTCTAGAGCAGCCAAGGGCTGACCAACATTTTCTATATAAAGTCAGAGAGTAAATGTTTTAGGCTTTGCTGGCCATACGGTTTCTGTCATAACCACTCAGCTGTTGTCACACAAGAACTACGACAGACAGCATGGAAATAAATGGGTAAAACTTTATCGACAAATACAGGCTGCATGGCCTGGGGTCTGGCCTGTGGGCAGCATGTACCCGGTCCCTGGAGCTGACCATTATCTGCACCGCTGCCTTGTGCACTCACCATGGCCGGGATCCCTTGTCTTGCCCTGGCACCCAGGTGAGCAGTGAGCAACATGAACCAGAGCCAGCTCTTCCCTGACACGAATGTTGAATCTGTGCACTCCAGGAGCAGGGATAAGTACACTAACCCTCAGTGGCCTGGGAAAAAATATTGGTCCAGCCTTTCTAGTGCTCACCACCAAGAGAGAATTGATGCATTGCTAGGAGTAGCATTGTCCTAATGGATCGTTTTAATATGGGAAATAATCACTTTGTACGTTAGTAATGTATGTTCCAATCATGATAAAGCAAAGGGCAACTGGACAGTATAACAGTCAAATTTAGCCTCAGTATAAATGTGTATTTATAAACAGCAGGAAATTTATAAGATAGAAATAAGAGGTAGGTGTACTATCTTTTCCACCACACAGGGAGGAGAATTGACTTTATTTCTAGTTAATGCTGAAATGCACATTCAGTACCTTTCAAAGATACAAAAATACTGGACAGTCCTGAAATTTACAGAATTAATTTGACCCTGAACTTGTGCTTGAAACCTGATGGAAAATGCTGAATGAAGAGTATTTGCTTAGGATAAATCTGCCAACTACTGCCTGGATAATTGGGGAGGGAGGCATATTTTCTCAAAATATGTCCAGATGAGAAGAATGAGGTCAAAGGTAGACTCTGAAACTGGAAAAGCTCCTCCTGAGGATGGAGGTAGATAAGATGAGGTGACGAGGTGACCCCTAACTTAGCATGGACCAGGGATCCAATGGAGAGGTGGGATAGTGTCACTGTTGGAACAAACCTTTTTTCTATTTGCTAATTCCCAACAAGGTTTATAAACTGAGAGGCAACAGAACAGTCTGTGCAGGTGTTTCCAGTCCCATGTGGATATGACAGGAAAGATCTGGATGGAGTGACAGCTTATCCTAGAACAGGAGACAGTGGGTATATCAGGGAGAAATATGTAGAGAACCTTAGCCTCAAATTTGCTCATCTTTAAAATGGGGAGAATCAGCCGACTATAAATATCAAATTAGACCAATGTGAAACTATGTTATAAAGTACAGGACTGAACCAGCCCAAGCCACCAGAACCATTGTTGATGATCATTGAGAGTCCACGGGGGCACTGCTGTGTACTAAGTGCTTTATATATTCTTTTGCAAGGGTTTTGTGGTCAGCTGGGTAATGGGTCCCAAATATGTCCACATCTCATTCCTGGGACCTATGAATGTTATGTTCAATGGCAAAAGGGACCTTGCAGATGTGACTAAAATTAAGGCTCCTGAGAGGTAAGATTATCCGGGAGGCTGTAAATGCAATCACCAAAGTCTTTATAAGATGGGGCAGGAGATCATAACAAGTTCACTGGAGGATGGAGTGACCCAGAAGAGTCATGGTCCAGGGTAGGAGTGACCTCTACAAGCTGCAAAAGGCAAGGAAACCGAGGCTTCTCCCTGATGCCACTGGAAGAAACAGCCCCAAGAACCCACTTGGGACAATGACCTCCAGGTTGTAAGACTTCAAACTTAAGCCACTAAATTCATGGTCCTCTGTTACAGCAGCGAGAGCAGACAGATACAGACCTTGCTCCTGGAGTCAGACTGGCTTGAATTTAAATCTTGGCTCCACCACCTGTTTCATTCTTCATTCATGGAATGGAGATATCAGAATTCCCTCCTTGCGGGGTGACCAGAGGAATTGAATGAGATGGGGTGGTGGAGCTCCTTTAGCCAGAGCCCGTCTATAATATACAAGAAGCTCTCTGTTAATGTTGGTAACTATTAGTATCATCTCACTTAATCGCCACAAAAGCTCTCTGAGGTCAGGGTTATCATCATCTCCCTGTTACAAGGAGGAAACTTAGGTGAAGAGAGTGACCATGATGACATAGGCTGTAAATGGCAGAGTCAGAATCTAAACCAAGGCCCGTGCTCAGAGCTCTGCACTGGGGATATGACAGTTCCTCTGCTGAATGCCAGCTGCTCAGGCACAAAACCACAAAGAGTACAATGCTCTCTTCATGGGCAAAAGCTTCCAGGGCTAGAAATAAAATAAATCTATTTCTTAGGGAAACAGAAGCTGTAGCTGCGAGAGAGATCCGTGTCTAAGAGGTTAGCCACCCTCTGACATCTCTGGGTTGGCTAGCCCCAAGCTGCAAATCATGAAAGTCTGAATACTGTGTTTAGTCATTTCGGTTCTGGAATAATTGCTATTATCGTAAATGTTTTATAGCTCTCATTATGGCTCACATTTAAATATCAGTGTAGTAATACATTAATAAGTCATCACTGCCAGACCACTGCCAGACTCAGTTCAGTCGAAGCCCATGTATAACTGTACCATGTATTCAGTTCATTAGGGCTGGGCTGTGAACTCCCCCTGATGGTGAGCAGCATGGTCCAGAAGAAGCCCTGTCTCTTCAAAGGCTTCCTATTCCTTGCCTTTGAGAGACAAGGAGATGCTCAGATTTTTGTCTGGTAGTCAGTCAGCAAACCTATCTGAGTATTGCCCAAGTGTGGAGGCTAGAACTCTGATGTGGACAGAGAAGAAATGAGAGCCTCCATTCTGCCCTGGAGGCCTTCCTAATCCTATGCGACAGAGTCTGGTCTGATGGGAGTGATGAATATCTCTGCACTGTCTGATGAGATAAGGCTTCCGGAGTGCACAGAGACAGGATGGATGTCCCTTCCCCTCACCCACACACACAGAAAAGATGAGCCACACAAACAAAACAGCTAAGTAGGTTCAACTTCATAAAAGGCAACTCTCTGCACAGGCGGAGTAGCACAGTCACAGAATAGGCAGAAGCAAGCCATGTAAATTAGGTCCGCCTGTTCCTCTTACCATCCCGCATCCTAACACAGGGACAGACATGTGGTAGATGCACAGTGAACAATGAGGGAGGGTCAGGAATCAAGTGCTATGCCTCTGGGTAAGCAGACCCTCTGGGTCTCATTGGCCAAGCAAATGACAGGTAGACCAGGTGGGTTAGAGGAACCATCTGGGGTGGGGGCATGTGAGTATTGGAATCCTGCTCTAAACTACAGTCATAAGGAGCTAAAGAAAGAATCTGTGCAGGGCCCCATGAGTGGGTGGGGTGAGCATGGGGGCTACTATGTGCTCAGTGGAGCTCGGTTTCTATTTCTGTAGAGGTTGGGGTAGGGGATAGAAATGACCAGGACAGGACTAGATTCTCCCCACTCTTGTTAGTAACAGTGGCCTGTTCACTGAGCACATACTATATGCTGAGCCTTTCCCAGTCTGTAAGTACCTGCCTCCTTCCACAGATGAAGAATTTGTAGATAAGTGATGTTACTAACTTGCCCAAGACTGCACTACTAGGGAATGGCCAGACTCAATTTGAACTACGTCTGGACCAGGCCTTGGGGCTATAGTCATGCACAACATAGAAAATGCCCCACCTTTGGAGAGCTTATGCTTGTAGAGGGCACTCAGGGGGAAGATGTTATGTTTACCAAGTGGCCAGTGCAGAAGTCACATAACCAATGAAACTTCCAAAGGAAGGCCCCTTCCTGGGCCAGTGGGGACTTGTATGGGCCCAAGAAAGGATGAGAGGAGTTGGGCTGATGAGAAAAGAAGTCTGATGTGGCCTTGGAGAGAAAGAGAAAGGGAAGGCACAGGAGCAGGTGGCCACCATGATGGTAGTGAGGGGTGTGTCCAGCTTTTGCTCTCAGGTGCAACGAGGCAGGTGGGGGGGCCCATGGATTGTGGCCTCTCGATTAAGGAGTCCCTGAGTGCGCTGACCTGAGATGGCCCCTGCTGCTAAGTGCCGCAGGCCTCTGCCCATGGCCTCCTTGGCTGCCCTGTTCCCCTGGGCTTCGTAATAGTTCCCCAGACGGGTAAGGCTGGCAGTGCTCGCCTGTAGCCCGACTTCATTCCTCAGCAGTCCTACTCTGTCCCTCCTCACACCTTTCCTTGTGCAAAAGTCCTGGTCATTGTAGGAGCCCCATCTGTGGTCACGAACAAGATGGAGGTGAGTCAGTCTATGTCCCCATGGAGCTCACCAATGCACTTGAGATGAGATGTGCTTGCAGATGCCTGGGAAGTGCAGGAAAACCTGTTCATGTGGCCTCATGTGTGAGTGTGGAGATGGAATGTGGAGCCGACAAGGAACAGAGTAGGAGAGGGCAGGGTTCAGCCACCTGCAGCGCTAGCAGCTAGGGTGAGGTTGCTGGAGGTTACTCACCTCTCTGTGCCCCTTGGCCTCCGACACCAGCATAACATCCACTTTGTGGGTCTGTGCGTTATAGGCAAAATGCCACGAATCTGTTTCCTTCTCTCTAAAAGAGGACATGCAACTGGCTGAGGAATTAGGGCCGTCCCAATGAAGCGCTCAGCACACAGTAGGATCAGGAAAGGTTGTCATTGCTCACAGTGGACAAGCCAGTGCTGCGGGAGAACAGCAGGAGGAACCTGGGGAATAAGGAAGTCAGCATATTCTCTCATCAGCCAGAGACCTGTCCCTTGTCTCCAGCTGCCCTGATGATTGGCTGGTGGCTGTTGACTGTTGGTCCCTGCCCTGCCTTCTGTGACATTTCAGTGCCCCCATCTTGCTCCTCATTGACCTCTTCCTTTCCCTCTGTCTCCACAGCACTCTCAATAACAACAACATTAGCCGCATCCTGGTCACGAGCTTCAACCACATGCCGAAGATCCGGACTCTGTGAGTACAGGTCCCAGGTCCCCGCTCCTCGTCCGCCTGTCCCCTACCTACTTCCAAAGCTCAGCTCTCTAGTTGCCGATGACACCTCCTATCAGCTAGCCCGGGCAGACAGTCCCTATATTCCAATGTCTCCTGCTATTAACTAAGGGGTGAGATGGTGAGGGAGAATGGATGCAGGGAAGGGTCACAGTGTCACCCATGACTCTGAACCACCATTCTGCACCAGACAGACTCATTTCTGTCATCTTGAGCCTGTGGGAATTCTCCCTGTACTGTGCTTGTTCTGTTTTCTCACCTTGATTTTAAAAAGTTGTTAATTGTCCATTGTCATAGAATATGCAAAACGGTGATGTCATGATTCACATTGCTTAGCTAATGTCATGTGCCATGAGCAGTTCTGTTGTATTGCCAGTGGCTGTTTTCCCCTCTGGGAATGGTGGAAGAGAAGGAGTCTTTGTCCCTTCTCTCTATCCCACCAAGAAAGACCCTACCCACTGCATCCCCCAGCTCACCTGCTCCCTGGATGATAATCTGATATTGAGATGCACTGACTTGGTCCTTTATCTTTAAGACTCCGCATAGGGTTAAGCCTTCCAGGGTGTGCATGCAAAGCAAATCTCCTTCGTGATGTCCAGAACTGAGAGCAGTTCTAGAGGCTGAATTATGTAGAAGTTCCCCTCAACTCTCAGCCAGAAATCCCTTCACAGGTTTCTCTGCAGATGGGCTCAGTTGCCCTTTCCAAAGAGTTTCATGCTTAGTGCTTGCTCTGTGTTAGTGGAGGCTCAGTGGCACTTGCCTGGCAGCCTCAGGGGGAAGCCAGCTCCTGGGAGCTTTCAGCCAGTGCATCTGGGGCCAAGGCAAAACGCTAGAATTCCTCCTCTATAAACAGGGGCAATGATGAGGATTGGGTGGCTTTACATATGCATAGCACCTGGCATATGCTAGAGAGTAAATGATAACATTAGCATCACATTATTTATCCAGACATCTAGAACATTCCAAACAACCAGCTTATCTATGACCCCAAGCATCATGGAATACATGAGATTCCAAAATTCATAGAGTGGGGTCCTTTGGACTAGCAGCATCAGCAACCTGAAACTTGTTACAGAAGCAGACCTCCAGGCCCCACCCCAGACCTGTGGGAAGATCCCGCAGTGTGTTTTAACAAGCCCCCCCAAGAGATTTTCATGCTCTATATCATGAGAGCCATGAGAATGTTCATGAGAACGTGATCTCACCTCAGTTGAGGACAAAGCAAAAGCCAGTGAGGCACTTTACAAGGAAGCAAAGCAGAGCCCCTCAGAAGGGGACAGGATTTGGAGTCAGGCTGACCTGGGTGGAAATGCAAGCTCTGCCACTTCCTCTCTGTGCTTCAAGGAAAGTGGGTTAATAAATGCTCACCTCACTGTCATTATGAGAATGAAATACACTTGAATACGTGAAGGGCCTGGTACATGGTGTGCACAGACAAATACTAGTTATTGTAAAGAACAACAACAATTTGATGTCAGCTCCATCTTTTCTCTCCAAATTCTTCCCTTAATCACACAATAGCATAACTCAGCCAGGAAAATTTGTCCTTTTCCCAACCCCTTAAAGTGGGATGGTGCATTCATAGAATTTTAAGGAGAAGCCAGTTGGTCTTCAAAGATCTCTTCAAAGTCCCCTGCAAACCACAATTGAGCGGGGGAAATGTGTAGCCCAGGGCTCCCAGGCAAGGAGCCAAAAGTGAATCTCCGGACGCTGGGCCTGCGTCACCTCAGACAAGTGGGTGCATGGAAGAAAAATGACTCTCACCTGCAGAAAGCAGCAGCCCAGCTCCTGGGGAGTCTTCCTCTATGATTTATACTTTCCGTCTTTGTGATTTTCAGTTGAGGAGCAGCAATAATGGGAGCTTTCTGGTTCCATGGGAGTTGGGGCAGGGGGTTAGGCTTGGACCTTAGGTACTTGTTTAGGGTGCACTGGGAGGAGGCAGGGGAGGGACAGTTTTATCTCCTTGTTTCTGTTGCCATTCTTCTCCATAGTCCTGAACATTCGTCTCTGAGTTCAGATCAATCAATCAATCTTGTCTGCTCTCTTTGCTTCCTGCCTGCTGCCATTTTCTCTTTAGTTTAATTTCAGAGATGGCTCTGTATAGAACTCCCTGGAGATGAGCTGACTAATCCCCCTTCACTGTAATTAAAGAGTTGGGGGGGTGGGGCTGGTGGTGGTGGAGGAGGGAGGAGGAGAGAGGAAGGAAGTCATAAATGGGATTTCCAAAGGAAAGCTTTTATATTGAATTCAGAAAGCCACATTTTATAGAAAATGAACACTGACCCTCTCTAAAAGGATTTGCTGGAAATTTAATTTAGCGTCTGTGGCTAAAAGGCACCTTTTGTAAATTGGTATTTGTATTCATTCACCTTATGTTCTGCAAAGGTGGTCTCATCAACATGGAATATGACGTGCCCATTGGTAAAAGGCTACAGAATGGCGTGTAGGAAGCACCTAGCCACCTGGATGCCTTGGCATCTGAAGAAGAAACCGTAGCCTTGTAGAGGAGGGCCACAGATTGGGAAGGGTCTGCAGTCTGGAGCTAGTCTCCCTGGAGTCTCAATGATAGCACCCATTCACCCCATGGTTAACCATGTGCCAGGCCTGGTGCTAAGCACGTCCCACTTCGATCCTCACATGACCCTAGGAAGGAAGCATCATTAACTCCCCCACCTTATAGCTAATACCACTGAGGTCCAAAGTTAAATCACTGCCCAAAGTTTGAAGGCACAGAGCCAACATCAGACTTGGGCAGTCTGACATCAAAGCCTGAGCTCTTACAGTCAGCAGGAACAAACGCAGAACAGGTGAGCAGAGGAGGAGACCAGAGCTCCCACAGGCCCCACAGCTGATGGGGGGAGGCCACCATCCCTCAGGCCACCACCATCACAACCCACCAAACTGTTGAAAGGAATTGAAATGATTTCCCTCCTCAATTAAGAGGACTAGAACTACTCCTAGCAATGTCCAAGCTCAAGTTTTATGATCGTCATAATTATTTTTCTTTTAATAGTAGTATTTTGGGTGTTATTGCTGAGTTTGATCTCCCAAATATGACAAGAAGGCAGCTTGAGAGAATCTTCTGGCACTTTCGGTGGGTACCCTTCCTATGGGAGGGGAAGGAGCTTGTCCTCTGCCCTGGCTTTTGACAAGAAACTTTGCATGGCTTCCACATGGGCTCAGGGAGTTCAGGACAGAACTCCCTAGAGAGGAGATTGGGAGGGGAGGAATTCCTAGGAGACAGGGCTTGGAATACCTGTAGCAAGGTCAAGAAGAGAGGCAGCGGGCTGGGGATGTGGCTCAAGCAGTAGCGCACTCGCCTGGCATGCGTGCGGCCCAGGTTCGATCCTCAGCACCACATACAAACAAAGATGTTGTGTCCGCCGAAAACTAAAAACTAAATATTAAAATTCTCTCTCTCTCTCTCTCTCTCTCTCTCTCTCTCTCTCTTAAAAAAAAAAGAGAGAGAGAGAGAGGCAGCTTACTTCCAGCCAGGATTGAGAACAACCAACCCAGGATAAGCTGCCAAGAGGGAAACACTGACATGTTGGTTGTCTCAGAAGTTAATCAGCTCAGGAAGGAGCTGACTTACCCAAACCTCATTTTTGTTGTCCTGTTGATCTCTTACCCTCAATTGGACTTGACGGGAACTTGTTCTCATTGATCTGCCTCAGGGACCGTGCGCGTGGCCTCACAGTGAATCCCCTTAGCCTTAGCATCCATACCTTGCTGCCAAATAAGGCGACTGCCTTTCCACTTGAAAGCAAAGCTAATGAAATGGTTCTGAGTCAACCGGCACACCTCAGCCTGCACTGTCCCTGCAGCCTGCCCTGTGTCCCACCTTGTCCCATGGCTACCAATTCCCTGAGCAGCACTAATACCTGGTGGGAGCTTCCTGGACTTGGGATCCCCTCCTCTCCAGCCTGCCTTTTAGGAAATAGTTACCAGCTGAAAGTGTCCTGCCATACCTTCCCTCGCTCTAAGCACCGAGAGATCATGCTCACGGTTAGACACAGGTCTTGTTTTTCCTCCTGGTGTTGAGGTCCCCCTATCAGCTTAGAATTTGGTCTCCCCATCACTTCCCAACTGCTGAACCTGTGTCCAGAGTCCAGGATGGGAGGGAGCCATGCTTGCTTCGGTTCAGGGGGTCTGACTGTGAAACTCAAAGGGGAAAATGTCTTGGGTCCCATATAATTGCCATGTCTAGGGCCTGGAAGCTTCTGAAAGTGCGCTAGACTTACCATGAAATACAAAAGACAGTAACGTTTAAAAAAATCATTTAAAAAAACAAAATCATAAAAAGCTGTACACAATTTTTTAGCAGGAAAAATTGCGTTTCCTGTGGGATCTGAGTTCATTGAGTCTGAAATGATGGGGTCTGCAGCAGCTGAGGCCCCTTACCATGGTTCCAGCCTGCCAGAGGCTTGTGGCCATGCAGTGGCAGGAAGGCCCCCACCAGACGTAGCCCATTAGTTGGCCAGTGTTGGCAACATGGACCTTACGCTGAGTGGAATGTGGTTGAGAGCCCTTCAGCTTTCCCACGTAGGCATAGTGGTGGCCCGCACCACTCCTTTGGGCTGCCACTCAGTATTAAGAGGCTTGACAGAGAGCACTTGAGAGTCAAGATAACTGCTGGCTGATTAGCATGTCCAGGATCAGGCATTTGACATTTGCATCAGAAACCCAAGTCTAATGCTGCTCAACTCCCCACCACTATTTCTAATGACCAAAGGGCATGGGGAATACAGAAGTTGGAGATCCTGATAGAGTCCTTGAAGAAGAATTTTCAGCCCATGCAAAGGAAGTTCAAGTCCTTTAACTATCTGGGATTCCCTCAGCAAAGCAACAGGCAGATCCCTCCAGGGATCCTACTCACTTAAGGGCAAGAAATTGATCTGGAATCCCAGCTCCCAGAACAGAAAAGCCAGAGTCTGCAACTGGTTAGGAAATCTTTTCAGAGGCACCTAAATCAGTCAGAAAAGCAAATATAGCAGCTGGAATTGAACTTGGCAAGAGAGGGAGGGAACCACGGAGATTGCTATGGACTGCTGCCATCCGGTATGAACACTTTATTTAAACAGGAAGCAGAGACGTTCCACCTTTCAGAAAGTACCCTCTCTCTGTACCCTACTCTCTCTGTGCAGTGTGACCAGGTGGTCTTGGTGTTAGCTGTCCATGTAGCAGGCTTCTGAAGGACACTTAGGGAGGAGATGAAGGAGAACCAGGTAAAGGCAATGGCAGGTCTCAGCCACAGTGACATCTCAGATGGGCATTGAGATAGAGAAGCATGTTTCAAGCTAGCTGTACCCCTGCTGGCACAAGAACTGAAATTTGCAAGAATCATCCCTTTGTAAGTTTGACCTGAATCAGTACTTTCACCATAATAATATCACACTCTGTCTCCTATGAGCTGAGGTTTGCCTTGTATGAGAAAGAAAAGGGTGGAATCATTATTAAGAAATGGAAATTGCTCAGAACCCTGAAGGCATCCACTGGATGTGCCCTACATGTGAAGATAATTTGTGGCTTAGCCATAAAAGGGCTGAGGCTCCTGCTTTTGGGGGAGTGCGAAGGAAAAGGCTTCCCTATGCCATAAGAATTGTCACACTGGGGAAAGGGGCAGCAGAGGCCTGGTCCACTCTGCTCAGCACTGTGTGACGGCACCTTCCCTCTGTCTCTCCTTCTCCCAGGCGTCTTCACTCCAACCATTTATACTGCGACTGCCACCTGGCCTGGCTCTCAGATTGGCTGCGCCAGCGGCGGACGATTGGCCAGTTCACACTCTGCATGGCTCCTGTGCACCTGAGGGGCTTCAATGTGGCGGATGTGCAGAAAAAGGAGTACGTGTGTTCAGGTGAGCTCTTCCCCGGACCCGGCCTTGAACATGCAGCCCAGACCGGAGCATGGCATAGAAGGAGCCCCATAGGTTGCTCCACACACACAGTAGTGACTTGAAGAGCTCTGGATTTCCTCAAGGGGTCCAAAGAAAGAAGGACTTGACACCTGGTAATGGAAAAGCTGAAGGAACTGTTAAGGCCCCTGGTCTGGTCATGCTAGGAAACCTAACGTCTGTTGAGTCACATGTCATATGGGTATGACACGGACATGGGTATGATGGAAGTGTTTTAGCATTTGCTACACAGATTGCTGTCCTCTGAATGTTTGCAGAAATTGGGAAACAGGACAGTGTAGGCTGCAGAGTCATCCTGCCTGGCTGAAAATCCTAGCTCTGCCCCTTGCTAGTGTGTGACTTTGGCAAGTTACCTCTCATCTACAAAAAGAAAAGAATAATAGTACATAACTCAAAGGGTGGGTAGGATTAAGTGAAATAATGCATATCAGGCACTTAGTGTAATGAGCAGCCCATGGTAAGAGCTGTGTAAGTGGAGCTTAATTATGATAGTTTAGTAGGCCCACAAAATATGCTGAGCAAACAGAAGGGTTTGATCTGTGGGTAATAGAAGTGAAATGGGAGCACAGATTGCCACCGTAGCTCACGAGAGTGGACGGTGTAGACACGTGACTGAGGCGGCTCAGAACTCCAGGGAAGGGCAGTGGCTGAGGACACAGCTTTTAAACCGGGTTCTAAGTTTCACTCGTTTGCTTTACTTTTCTTGACATCCTGTGCTTCCACTAACTTTCTCTTTTTCTGGTGGTAAAGAAGTAGAGCCAATCCCTTGATTTTCCTTAAAGCCAAAAAAAAAAAATTCCATGGAGGGGTTTCCCAAAGAGTTGTACAGATTCCCAGGAGCCCAGACCTGGAACTGGAGCCCGGGCCTCCAGAGACTGAGCTTGGGAAGGGGGCATGAGGAGGGAGCAAGGCCCCCAGGAGCTGAGCTGACATCCCTCCCCACCTTTCTGAACCCTTGATCCTTTCCAGTACCCAGGGCTTATTGAGCCAAGCCTGGCGACCAGGCCCCAGCATGGCCAGCTGTGCAGACGGGTCTTCTGCTCCTCCACTGCCTGGCCACGGTGCAAGAATTCCCTTGATTCACCCTCCTCTCCCTCTCTGCTGTTTCCTCCTGTCACATTATTTCTTCATTATGTTATTTATTCTCCACAAACACTTGTCTCTGAGCAGTACCTCAGTAGCTTCCTATGGACGCCCACTTAGAAATCACTTCCCATGAAACACGTATAATAAAACCGTTTATCACACAGGCACCAAATTCAAATATAGTGACTATAATTACAGTAATTATTAGGCAAAAGGTGCAATATTGGCATAAGTGCCAGTGAAAGAAATAATTATAGAGTGCAGGAGTCATCCAAGAGCTAGTGAGAAAAACTAATTAGAGAGAATGTTAAAACACATCATTACAGGTGGGTGCTGAGTTTAATGCAGCACACGGCTGTGAATGCCACTTTGTCACGAAAGCACCTTCCCGCCAAGAGTGGCAGGGCATTGCTGACCCAATAACAGCCAGGATCCAGAACCCGTGGGAGTAAGGCACTCCCTCCTAGGTCCCGGAAATGCTAATGCCCCCAATCCCCCTACTCCAAGAGGGTTCAATCTCGCAGGTGGATCTCATTAATTACCTAGGCGCATCCTGACCACCTTTGTTGATAGCAGTCAAATTCGTCACTTATGATGGTCTCTGGAGCTTCTAACATGAAGCCAATTGCTTTATGAGGACGTGAGAACTGAAGTCCAAAGACTTCATACATCAATAAGCTGTTGCCCTCCACCTTCTCACCTGTAGTCTGATTTTTGGGGAGTGACTTGTATGTATGAGGGATTCATTAAATGCTTTATCAGGCACTCATGCATAAAAAACTAGAAGATTGTAAGGGGTTATTTTGGAAAAGGTCAGAGTCAGTTGCAACAGTCTAGGGGAAGTGACGAATGAAACTCCACCATCATGTGGGGTGTAGGAAGAGCATACCCCCAAAGTGCTGCCTCCTTCACACCTGCTGAAGGCAATTGTAAGACTGATAAAAGGCTCCATCTGTGGTGTGCAGCTAACCCCTAGAGGAGGCCAGAGGAAAGGACAGCAGTCATGTGCTGACCACCCCAGCACACCCTCACCCCAGTGCCAGCACCCAGCTGGGCATATGCATGGGGTAGTTCTGTGTGGACTGATGTGTCTGTTTTAAGATGCAAAACGCTCCCCATTCAAGCTACTCCCCTAACAACTCACCAGAGGGAGACGTCAGTCAAAATGGAGGGGCAAGAATTCTCTGTAAAAATAGAGGTCATCCGATCAGGAGAAGGAGAGGCACGGGCTACAAGTAAGCCATCCTGCGTGTGGCTTCCTTTCAGCCATCCCTGTCAAGCAGAAGAAGAAGAGCTCCCTAGGCCTTTAAGTGGTATTGAAAATTCACCAAACACATGGCCCCAGAGACGGAAGGAGCTTTATCTCACTCAGCCTGGGAGGGCCCTGCCTGCCCAAGTCCCTGATTTCTCCCTTGAATTAAATCCAGCCGTCTCAGCCTGGGCTCTTCTCCCCAGAAGCCCTGGAAATGGGCTCCTTATCACTCCAGCTAACCCAGAAATTTGCTACAGCTCACTTGGGCAAAATTCATCTCCCCATCAGGCATTCCTTCCCAGAGACATCCACTTTCTTCCTCTGGGGAGTCAGCTGAGAATTTTTCACCAGGGTCAGGGTATATACTTTTAGTTTATTTTTATTAACATTTTCTCTATTATGCAATTTGACCACTTATCTTCCTTCAGTCTCTGATAAAAGAGCTTCTCTGTTAACCACTCTTGCTTTGAGGAAAAGGCTGGGCCCAGGGCTGGAAGAGTCCATGGACCCCACTTCTTTCTTGTTGCTCACAGGCTGGACCTTTATCAAAGTTCACAATAAATAGACCAGAGAAAAAAAATCATAATATGTTAGTTGCAAGGTTGGGGTTTGTCATGTTTTTTTTTTTTTCATCTTGAGGGTTTATTTTGGGGTTTAAATTCTAGGATTTACTTCCCATGTATTTCCTTAATCTGAGAGAGTTTCTATCTGTAATAATTTGTAATTTACAGTCATTAGTTAAATATTTGACCTCCTGAGTCAATTATCTCTTTCCTTTGAGTGTTTTTAAGCCTCCCAATTTGTCTGCCTACTTCACATTCATCTGCTGGTGGCCTTAGTATATGACATCTGCTCATAAGGACATTAGTCTTGGTTGTGGTAATAAGGATCCACATCTCATATTCTTTCAGGTGCCCCCATACCTAGAACAATGGTGGACCCTGGTGGCCTCCCCATAAACACTTTTTCTCATTTATTATTAAAATGAAATATACTTATCTCCCTGCAAACTGGAAAAGCTCCCTTCTTCTTCTTCTTCGTCTTCTTCTTCTTCTTCTTTTTTTCCTCTTTTTGTTTTTTAATTTGGGACTAGTTACTAAGTACAAAGATAATTAAGGTAAGCCATGACCAGCCACCCATCTCCTTAGGAGCTTTTAATTAAAACACCATAATTGAACATTGCAGGAATGAGATTATTAGGTTTATTTAGCCATTTCCAAAATTATCATGCCTCTGGTATTTAGCTCACGTTCATTTCCATTCCCATCAAGATTGCTTCAGCTGCAATGTCGTTGTAGTCTGGTGTGGCTTTGAAAGGCCAGAGGCCAGTAGGGAGGCTTAATTTGAATACTGGAATTAATTTATTTCTACATACTCACAAGGCCACTGGATTTTTTTACCCTGTGCAGGCTACTGGCTGATTTTTTTTTTTTTTTAAGACAGAAGGAAATAAACACAAGAGTGTCCAAGCATCTCCTAGTGTATCTTACAAGATCCGGCCCCTGAGCCTTCGCCCCTGCCCCCTCAGAGATTCTGAGGCACTGAGAGTTTTAATTTCACAGTATTAAGAGAGGCATTTAGGGTAGCCTTTTGGCAGGCAGGGCAAAAGAGCACTGGACCAAATGCTGGAACTTTGTTGTTTGGGATCTATGATCTTGGGCAGCTGGCTTAACCTTCCTGTTCTTAGTCTCCTCATCAGTGTGATGGGAGTGATCATTCTAGAACATGGACATGCGTCCTGGAGGATCAAGTGAGACAATATGATAGGGTCTTCAGTGTCACATCTGGCACTCAGTGAACTACTCGGTGAACACTAGCTGCTATGAGAATGTGGCGGCTCTTGTTTGGCCAATACGGTGTCCTTGTAAGTAATCCCCTATTTCTGGCTCAGTATTCTTGTGGTCTCCATGGACCTCTCTAGGTCTGAAGTTCGGTGATCTTTGTCCCTTCATCTGGGCAGTCAGGTCAGGGCCTTGTGCTTTCAGCATGATGATCACCCTCGTTTTACCAATTAGGCAAAGAGCAAAGGTGAGGTGAAGGCCGGGCAGGAGGCAGCTCTGGTCATAGATGCGTCTTTGTTCTCTCTGAGCAGTCAGTAGGTTAGCAGGACTCCCAGTGCCCACGCTGGTGGCCTTGGGCACCTTCCCTGGAAGAGGCTGAGCTGGAGCTCATTCCTGCCCTCGCAGTCCCTAGGTGCCCCGGGCCTCCCAGGCCTTGCTGGTGAGCATCAGCAGGGAAAGCCAGCACCTCCATTTCCCGGAGCTCCTGGGGTCCACCTTCAAGGCAGCAGGCACGGCCCTACAATCCAAGGAGACATCGGAAGACAGGGTGTCTTCCTTTCCACCTTGCTCAGCAGAGGTGGCTGTGGCTTTGCGTTGAGATCCAGCACCAACGTGGTGGTGAAGAGGGGTCTATGAGGGAGATACAAGCTCAGTCCACATCTACCTCCCTCTTCTGGATGGCAATGTCCTTCCAACCTCAGTGGGGCAGCATTTTGGTCCCAACGAAAGAGTTTGAGAACAGGTAACTCAGGCAGTTATTAAAAATGGAAGAAGTGAAGAGCAAGGCCACAGGCACTTCTTCATTAGTAGTAGGACATCTTAGAAAGGGGATCACTGGGGTGTTATAGGCTGGTCCATTAATATGCTCGGATTTAAGGCCACTTTCTCTGCCAGTGGACAGGCTCACGCAGGACAATGTGGATTCCTGGGGTCCCCATAAGAACATATTTCATGTGAGGAGCTCAAGGAGCACACAGGCAAGGCTCGTCTAGATATTCCTCTATCCCAGAAGAAAAACTGTCCCCATTCTTTGCCGCATCCCAGCTCATCATGACATAATTTGCTGGGTGAGAAGGGGGTGTCTCCTGACTTTGTCCTGCTTAGAAATGCTCTGCTGTTGGCTCCCCAAACATGTGCGGATTGGCAAGGGTTTGGTGACATTTCACAGCAGAATGCCTGGGACACCTCGACCCTGGAGTGGGAGCCCCAGGTGACTTTGCCAGCACTGACAGCTGCAGGGGAGGAGTGACCTCCGGGTACAGATTTCCACCTGCTGTGGCCACTCCATCTCCCCACAGAATGGCAGGTCTTCTCTTGCAGAGCCAGGGCACCAGGACTCAGGGAGCCTCTCCTCAGAGCCCTTCTAGAAGGAGCATTGACCTGCATTCCTGATGACCTTCTGCAGGGCAGTCACCTCTGAGGGGTATCGCCTGTTCACCCTCTCATTCACCCACCCTGTGCTGACTGAGCACGTGCTCCAAGTCCAGCCCTGTTTTAGGCACCGAAAATACAACAGTGATCAAGACAAAAACCGTCACTGTCCTTATAGAATTTGCATTCCAGTCCCAGTCTATCCAGGGGGAGGGACATGGGCCATCACTCATAAGTACTCAGAGGCCTACAGGGACATGGGAAAATGCTTCCAGAGAAAGTGACCCTGACTTTCACCCTCATTTGAAACCTGAAGTGTGTTGTTTAAATAAGGTCCTGTCCTCACCTGCGGGAATGCCTGCCTGCCTGGGGTGCTGCCAGCCCAGGGTGCTGACGAGGCTATAATTACCGCTGTTTCTCACCGTGTAATTAAAGGTGTTGTTAGTGACCTGGTTAAGGAATCTTTTTCAAAGGCTTTTTTGCCGTGACAACATCCCTTGAAATGTAGTGCACACTGCAACAGAATCAGAGCCACCCTCTCCAAGACCCACAACTCCCCCGGGACTCAAGATGCAACCTGGGTCTGGTTTAGAACAGGATTAATTACTACATAGAAATTGGTGTAGGGGGATACAAGTGGGGCTTTGAAAATCACTCCAAGTAGAACTTTCTGTTGTCAATAGGGAGCCTTGAATACAGATCTTTCCCTTCTCCAACACACACCATTCAAGTAATAGTTTGACAGGTCCAAAAAGGGACAGCCATCCAGTTTCTCTGCCTGATGGGTGGAAGGGCAGGGGCGCAGGCTGCAGTCCCTACATTTCCCATGGGGAAGGCGCCAGGTGTGGCAGTTCCCCTTGTGTGACCGGCCACATTCTCCCCCTTGCTGTGGAAGGGCAGGCACAGAAGCTTCCTTTGGGGGATGGGATACCACCTGCACTTCAGAAGCCCTGCAATCTGAAGCCACCTGCTTCAGCCTCCCTCACCCATGGCTGAAGGGACGGGAGTCCTTCACACTGTGGCTCCTCTGTGTGCCTGCAGGGAAGAGCAGAGAGGAGAAGCTGCCCTCTGTCCCATTAGGAGTGTCAAAATCATGCCACCAAACTCCTTACTCACTGAGATGGCAACAAAAATGCCACTGTGACTTGCCCAAGGTCTTCAGATAATTAGTGGCAGAGTGATACTCAATAATAATAATAATAATAATAATAACAGCAATAGCCGATTTTACTAAGCTCCTCCTCTGTGCCAATCATTCTTCTAAAGATTCTATGTGTCAACTTCCTTCACCTTCTCAACAAAACCACGCTTTGAAATAAGGCTGTGATCCCCCCTTTTACAGATGGGGGAAACACGGCACTGGGAGTAAGAACCAAGGGGGGGGGACTAAGATCTGCGCCAAGGCTGTGGGACTCCAGAGCCCCCACGTTAGCCAGGACATTCTTGTTTCTGGGTTGAGGCTCCTGTGGGCTGTGTAAGCTCCCCGGATTGAAACAAAGCCAGCATACCCCTGTCTCTGGGAGAATGTTCCAGGGGGCTGTTAGTGTAACCATCAGCCCTCGGGCACTTTCCATGGTCTTCATTGGATCCCCTCCTGTGGCACTAGTGACTTTGAAGTCCTTGTGTACTGGACAGGAATCAAGAATATTCTCTCAAATATCCCAGCTGAGAGGATGTTTTTAAATATTTATTTTGCGTGTACTTAGGAGGTGAAAGGCAGTAAAAATCTCTGGCCATTGGGTTGGCACTTCCTGAGGACAGAAACATTTCAAATTAAGCTGGAGGCATCAACTTGAGCTCCGACAGACAGATCAGCCTTTGGGGTCATGGGCACTGTTGAACGCTCCACGTGGAGTCTCAGCGTCCAGACGGGGACTTGCCCGGGATCCAGTTGTCACTCTGATTTCACCACCAGGGATGTCTCACTCTGGTTTTCATTTCTCCTCTGAAAAGGAGCCAGACCAAACATCATTTCTGTCGTTCGTGTTTAATCTGCCTCCAGGAGCCCCCACCAGAGGTCCCAGGCCCCAGCAGTGGGGAAGCCCTGCAGAGTTGTTCTGAGCTAGGTGCAGCCTGGGCCTCTTTGCTCAGAGAGGTTGTCTTGAAAGACACTGCGATGACCACTGTTGACTGGATCTGAAAGGGATGGGATGAGTCCTGAGAGGGCCACTTCATCGGGTCTTCCTTTTGGACCAGAACATCCACATTTGAAAAATGCAGCATGTGTGTGAGATCCTGACCTCACTGTGAGGTTGCAACCAAAGCATGGGAATGTTTATAGTGTCTTTAAAATATTCAAATTTGTTTCTTCTATTTGGAATTTAATGTGAATAGAGAATGTCATTAAAATTCTCTTTAACTCTGAATCCTCAGTTGGGTCAGTAATGGGTTTGTGTGTCCATTTGGCTTTCTAAATAAGCTCCTGGGGGTGCCATTTGCTTGGGGTTTTTATTACTTGGCTTTAAATTCACTCTGGTTCACCTCATACAAATGAAGGCTAACTTCAAAATACGTAGCAACTTATTTGCCTCATTTCTAGTGAGAGAAGTTTCATTTGCATGTTCCCTGGACATAAAAGCCATTCAGAAATAACTTGGGCATCACTGCTGATGAATGTGTTGACATGTAACAACATCATTGCCCCAAGTGGGGAAATTCTGCCACCTTGTTGCTCCCACTTGGTTTGACACCTCTGGTGGCTTCCAGCCACTAGAGAAAGGACTAGTTTTGTTTACACTCAGCCTTCAATCATCAGATACAAGCCAAAACCCCAGGGTACCATTCAGATGTTGGGCACCCTGCAAAAGTGGTCCTAGCAGATACGCTTTGGACCAGTGCATACCTTCAGGAGTCACTGACCCTGGGGCTTGGCTTCTCCTGACATGAGAGGCCAGGATGGTGGGACGAGAGAGCAGGTGCAACAACCAGAAGCAGCGAGGTCAAGGCCAGGCTCTCTCCTGGGGCTGCCCTGTCAGTGGCCATGATTTGTTAGACAGCTTTTCAGGTGAAGCCATATCCTTGGGAAGCTGGTCATGGACAGGAGATGACCGCTGTGTTCCTGCCAACAGGTCCCCACTCAGAGGCCCCATCCTGCAATGCCAACTCTCTCTCCTGCCCTTCTGCCTGCACCTGCAGTAACAGCATCGTGGACTGCCGAGGAAAAGGGTTGACGGAGATCCCCGCTAATCTGCCAGAGGGCATCGTGGAGATGTAAGTGCCCCGGTTTGTCATCCCTCTGTCCCAGGCAGTCCCTCTGGGGGTCATCAGTATCTCACTGCTAGAGCTGACTGTTAAAAACCCTCAGGAATCTCTTCACCATCCTCCCCTGCCTTCCCCAGCACGTCAGCTCAGGGTTAAAGACGCCGACTTCAGAACCCGGGCCAATCCCATCCTGCCTATTGCTGCACATAAAGTTTTATTGGAACACGTCCACGCCCGTTTGTTCCGTGCTGTCTGTGGCTGCTCCCATAGGGCAGTATTGTGACAGAGGACCATGTGGCCTGCAATGCATTCTGTCTGGTCCTTTGCATTAAGTCATCCGTCTGTGCCCCAGGATCGTGCTGTTTTTGTCCCGGCCTTCCCATTTATTATCTGTATGACTTGAGGTAAGATAATTGCCCTTCCATCTTTAGTTTTCTCACCTGTAATAATGTGATAATTACAGTATTAAACCCCAATGGGTCATTGTGAAAATGAAATGAAATTCTGCACGTGACGTACTTACTCCACAGGCCGCTGCTTTACAGCCTGATGAGTGGTGGAGGAGGGTGTGCCCTGTAAGAGACAGCACTTGGCACATGGGTGTGTATGTACAGATATCAGAAATTTCAGGAGAATTTGTCCACAAAGCGCAGATTTGTCCACCCTCCCCTTGCGGTTAGGAAACAGGCGGCGTCGCATTCTGGAATGAGTGGAGTGTCAGTCAACACTGACCTCAAGATCGCTCTTTAAATGACTGCAGTTGTTTTCATTTTCTGTCTTCGCCTTTAGGTGGCTTTATTGAAAACACCATCACATGGACCCCTTCTGCTGAAAACTCATTAGATAAAATCCCTCCAAATAAGAGATGTGCTTCCCTCACCTGGCTACCTTTCATCACCTCCTCCTCCCCCACTCCCCTTCTCCTCCTTTTCTCCCCCACCCCTTGCATTCCCTTCTGTTCCAGCCCAATCCAGTCGATGGCTCCTCGGCTTTTCCTTTCACTCCTGTGTTCATTCAGCCAATACCTGTTGGGAGTCCACTGTGTTACATACAGGCACTGTTCTGTGCTTGGAGAGGCAGCAATGACAAAATAGACAAAATTACTGCCTTAATGATGCTTGCATGAGGGTGGGGGATAAAAAAGAAACAAAGTAAAGTAAATGACACAATATGTTAGAAGGAGGTAGGTCCTATGGAGAAAATGAAGCAAAGAAAGGACTTCAAATAAGTGAAAGAAAAAAAAAGTAGATTTCTGGAGGAAGAGTGCAATTAGGTAGTAGGGATGGCATGTGCAAAGGCCCTGAGGTAGGCCAGAAGCCAGTTGGCAGGGGACGAGTTCAGAGAGGTGATGAGGGGCCAGAGCCTGGGGAATTTTAAGGACTTTGGTTTTACCCAGAATGAGAGGCAGAGAAACATAGGGCTTATAACAGTGGAGTCCTTCTTTCTCTTTCTTCATCTTCTTTGCCAGCTCTTTCTGGCTCCCTTCAAAGTGGTCTTCCCTAGCCCCAGTAGGCACAATCATGGCTCCACACCCTTCCTGCAAGCAGCAGCCTTTGGGAGGAGTCCTTGGGGCCTGCTGTGCACAGCCACTGTCACTTCACCGTCTGCTCTCGGCCCTCAGTCTTCCTTTCCCCAGCACCAGCGACCACGTCCCCCAGCGTTCTCTGGGACTCCCCTCAGTCCTCAGCGTCACTGTGGCTCTGAGCCCCTCTCCCTGAAGGCACCGAGGCCTCTCCTGCCTCTCCTCCTCATGCCTTGCTTCCTGCTTCCCTCATTTCTCCCAGCTCCAGTTCCTGCCATCTTCTCTTCCTGCACCAGCCCCTTCACCATCTCCTTCCCTTGGTCCACATTCCCTTTCCTCTCCCTGTGCAGTGCCATCTTTCCACTTCCACCCCATCTCTCTGCCCCAGGCCCAGCGCTCCCCTCTGAGGACCCTCCCCTTTCCCTCTCCATCCACACCAGCTGCGACCTTCCCGGGCTGTTCAGGACCCACTTCCTGCCAGTTCCATCCCACTGAATGTCCCCATGGGTGGTGCCCCTTCTCTTCCCTACCTGTTCCTTTCTCACACCACCTTTTCTCTTTTGTCTTCGGCCACTACGGACTTTCCCTTGGCCAGTCCCAAAACCACAGTCTGATGAAAGAGGCCAGTCCAGGTCATCAGGCCAGTGACACCCCCCCAACCCTGGGCATACCCCTTCTCCCCTGCTTCACATCTCTGTGGGCCTCACAGGACATGGCTCAGGTCTCCAGGAGAGAGAAACTGCAGATGTGCACCTTGGAGTGCAGGTCACACTGTGCCTGCCTGGCTGGGCTCATGTCTGGGTGGATTTTAAGAGACCTTGGCAAGCTTTGGAGTCGTAACTGCCAAAAGGCTGCCTGGTCATCACTGAGTTTCTCCCATCCTGAGGTTAAATGAGAAGGGAACAAACAATGTGATGTTTTCCCATTGAGGAAAAGTGCTCAGTCTGAAGAAGTCCTTCCCTAAGCTCCTGGGCTTTCCTCTACTGTCATGGCTATTAAAAACGTACTTTATTTTACAAAATGATTACTCCTGAAAGCAGAGTACGTGTGTATGTAATCACGATATAATTATGAATACATGTATATTATATAAATATGAATTATATAACAGAGGGAGGGAGAGAGAGAGATAGTGCCTTTAATTGTGAGCACCTAGCCCATGAAATGCCCAAGTCTGGACCTCAGCAACCTAGCTAGAGTGTGTCTGAGGATAAAGGAACAACCTGTTGGCTAAGAGTGCAGACCATGGATTTGGGCAGACCTGCATTCCAGCTCTGGCCCTGTCTTGAGCCAGGGCCAAGTAACTTCCAAGCCTTGGTTTCCTCACCTGAAAAATGCAAAGGCGAATGGTGCCTCTTAATGGTTCGTATGAGAGTTAACTGAACACGTGCTGACAAAGGCTTACAGTGTGTCCTGGAGTGCACTCTGAGAGCCATGACTGTTGTCATGTTGCAACCCTAACTACTCCACGAGTGCCACCAGTTTTATAGGGGTGGTGATGGGTTAGAAGCCACACCCTAGGAGCTGGAGCTGCCTACACAGGGGAATCCTCCGTAAAGCAGGTCAGATCCTTAAAGGTGTGTTTGAGAGGCCAGGTTCTAGACAGAGGCCAGCCACACGCATGTGACCTGGGAGGAGGTGTCTTCATGCCGAGGCACGCAGACGTGGCCGGGAGGCTGCCCCAGCTGTGGGCACCCAAGGTCCCCCAGACAGATCTGCAGGGCTCCCCTTGCTGCACCTGCCTCACTTTCCCCTGTGATGAAATGAAGCTGAGAAATTCAAGCAGCTGAGGATTGTTTCTGTGCTGGGGAGGGTACTTAGGGTAGCGACACCTGAGAGAGAGAACTTGATGGAGGAAAGGGACCTGCCTGCTCCTAGCGGCAACAGAGCCTGGGCTGGGGACTCTGCATCAGCCTGCGTCTCTGAAAAAGCTAATATGCATCCTCCTAACAGCAAGGGACCCAGCAGGTGGATGGAGAGGTGAGAGAAGGTACAGAGACAGTAGGGAGGAATAGGAGTGTCTGGTCATCATCACCGGCCCAGACACATCTGAACTTGACCTTTCTGTTTAACATGAAGAACTCCACCTCTTGCCCAGGACCATCTATATAATCCAGATGTGTATTCCCCTTCAAAGGGCTTGGTGACGTCTCAGGCTCTCGCCTCCCTCTTCTCAATCCTTAATTACTTGAGATTCTTTTAAATTCCCTTCACCTTGGAGAGGTCCTGCCCTGTGCGACTTTGGAAGGGGCATCTCTCATGCAAAGCAACCTGGCAGACTCCCTTTGATTTTTTTCTGAAGCCAAAGCAGCTCAGAGGAGCGTGTGCTGGTGTCCTCGCATACTAGAGCCAATTCCTCTAAAAATAGCTTTCTTCCAGAGAACCCACAGCGAGATGCTTCACTGCAGATTTTCCTCGAAAACTCAGTTTGCATCAAGGGCGCCACTCACACTGCTCCCTGATGTTTCTCTGAACTGGCTCCAGCCTCCAGCCAGAGCAATCCAGGGAAGAGCCAGAGACCACACGTGCCTGCCTGCATTCTGTGGTCTTCAGATGCCCTCTGGGGCCTTTAAGAGCTCCAGAGGGCTGCAGGTGCTTAGAGCCCCACCCTAATCTCTGCTGCATCTTCTGCCGTGTCTGCTCTACATTCTCATGTGGTGTCCTCAGGGTCATGTCTCCTGCTATGGAAGGTCCATTTATTTGATGGAGAAAGGCTGTAGATAGGTTTCAGTGTCAAGTTGCACGCAGAAGCAACTAGGAGGGAAAAAGCAGTGTCTCTACTGTCCCCTTGCTCCCATTGTTAATCTGCCAGTGAGGAGACAGCTGCTTAGCAATAGATAATCTCCCCATTACAATGGTCACCAGAGGGGCTGAGAGAGGTCCGAGAACTAAAAACCAAATATACCCAACAGAACCAGAGTTGGCGAGCTCTAGAAGCCACAGAACTCTATGACTCAAGTGTTGGGAGAGTGCCAGGTTTCTGAATGGATGCCCAGGGAAGGCAGGAAGGCAAGGGCTGGGTGCAGGTGTTGCAAAGGAGAGCCAATCAGGAGGCAGAATGGTTTCCAGCAGAGCCCTGGGGCCCAAAGTCCTGCGTTCAAATCCTGGTGCTGTGTCTGATTCCAGACACATTTCTTAACATCTTCTGCTTCACTTGGTTTCCCTCTTTGCCAAACAGGGGTCACATACCTACCTAGAGTTTTTTCACAGGATTTAAATAGCACAATATGTGGAAAGTTAGCACAATTTTTGGAAGCTACTGAAAAAAATGGAATTGAAAAAGCAAGAACTATGCACATGTGTGCACCTGAGACATGATAGCAAAATTTAGTCTCAACTTCCTGTACTTTCATTTTTTTCTAAGATAAATTTTTTTTCAGGGTTGACAATACAGCTAGGGGTAGAGTGAGTGCTTGCCTAGCATGTGTGAGGCCCTGGGTCCCATCCCCAGCACCTCACCCACAGACACACAAAAAGTTCCTCTGCAGATATCTGGACACCTGCGCACAATAAGGAGGGCAAGTCTGGTTCTGTCTGCACCTGTTTTCTGTAGGTGATGCCAGGTGTCCCGAGACAGCAGGTTAGTGATGGCTTGTGCCAGATTTGCCCTCAACCCTCATCTTTGCTGTGGACAAACATAGAGGCTCAGTGGGGGAGTCTAGGGCTCGCTACAGGAAGCAATAGTGAGAGAGGCCAGGAAGGGCTGTAGAAATGGGGCACAGAGAACAACCTTGAAAGGACCTTCTCCCTCACCCCGTCCCAGACCTAGTGAAGTGGACTCTGGGCTGTCCATCTGGTCTCCAGCCATGTGGCCCAAGAGGACTTGGTGGGAGGAGAACACAGACTTCCTTCCTTCAGCAGGATCTAATGTGAGCTCCCAAGTTGAGAGAAAATGAGGAGAGATGGGAAAGATTTAAGAAACCACGAAGGTGCTTCTGGGGAAGAGCAGTACAGCTTTGGGGTTGAGAGCCAGGCACTTGAGTCGGACCAGCCTGGATTCAAGTCCCGGCTGTGCCCTGCACTAGCGGACCTGGGGCACATTGATCTGGTCATCTATAAAATGGGCATCTAACCACTACTCCTTGCTTTGTACCACTGTTGAAAGCCTCACAGCATGAGCCAGTGTGTGACATATAAAAAGCCCTCATTAATGGTAGATGTGCTTCACATCACAAGCCCTGCCAGCACCGCCACCAACTCAATGCGGCTCCTCTTTATCAGGTGATTTGCAGACATGCCCTGCACTAGCCGTGCCCCTGCCAGTCTCTCTGGCACCATGTTGACTTGCGGATTGTGAGAAATACATGGTGTTCTGTGGCATGCCTGCAAATGACAGATCATTAAGGAAGCACCCGAGGAATTGGGCCAAGTCAACACGGAGCACAAATGGCTGAGGTCCCCATCAGATGTTTCTGCTGTGCAGGAAATGCTCAGAGGTTTGATGTGTGTGTTTGTTTTTATGCTCGTTCTATTAAATCAGTTTGCAGCCTGAAGAATGTTCACCAAACAAAGAAAGACACATGTGCCAGTTAAGAGAGGCCTCAAACAGCTGCTGGCTTCAGACACATCCTGAAATGTGACAGTTTTTGCTAATGCTATTAGTGCTTTTGGAAGCTTTTTCGCTGGGGGTCTAGATTGCTGCCTCCTTGTTCTGGGCTGCAGGACTGGGCATGTGTGGACGCTTCCAGGGACTTTTAGCAGCAAAGGCCTAGAGCACACTCCAGCCTTGCTTCCTTGGAGAGGGGCCCTTTTCCCCGCAGATAAGCTGACAAGGAGCGAAACAGTGGCAGATGAGAAAAGAGATGGGCTTTGAAAACATAAGAACTTGGGTTAGAGTCCCAGCACTAGCTCTTCCTGGCTTTGTGAAGTTGGACAAGTGACTTCATCTCTCTGAGCCTCAGTTTCCTTGTGCATAATGTGGAGGTAATAATAACTAAAAACATGCCTCGAGGGGTGCAGATACTGAGTCGGACATGCTGTGGGAAACTCTGCCCAGTGCCTGCCCAATCCCTGCAGCTCAGCACCTTGTGTTCACTGCCTCTTTAGATTGCTGTGTCCCTCCTTTTGTCTTTATGTGTAAGGTGCCCAGACTGTTCACAGTTAACCCACCCAGACCAGCCCCCATATCACCTGGGACAAAGTTAATACACATCATGTCCTGGCCTTGGCAATCTATAAGGGGTCCGACCAGACCAAACCCACCCCCAGAGAAAGTCTGGGATGTGAAGGATGCAGGGACATGTCTTTGCTGGGGTAGAAAGGATATGTTTGACATTCTTTTTTTATTATTTTTGTCCAAAATCACACTTTTGTACTCTATGTGCATATTTTATATGTGCAGGTGTCCCTCCATATCCATAGGGGATTGCTTCCAGGACCTCCCTCAAGCACCCAAATCCTCAGATTCTCAAGTCCCTTATACAAAGTGGCATAGCATTTGCATACAACCTATGTACATACATCTTTCCATATACTGCAAATCATGTCTAGGTGACTTGCAATATCTAACGCAGTGTAAATACTATGTAAACAGTTGTAAGACCTATTGTTCAGGAAGTAATGACGGGAAAAAGTCTGTGTTCAGTACAAATGCAATTTTCTTCTGAATGTCTTTGGACTGTGTTTGGTTGCATCTGCTGATAGGGAACCCGGATGCAGAGAGCAAACTGTGCTCTCAGCTACATTGCCCTTTCCTGAGCTTCTCCAGCCTTTTTGCTGGGCGCCTACTTCCACAGCTTGAGCACTGGGGTCTTAATTCCCTGTCCTTGTCTGTAACTGAGAAAGCCCCTTTAGTCTCAGTTTCCTCATTTTCACAAATATAAAGAGGCACTGAGTCCAATGGATACAAAAAGAAAGACATCGATTCTAGCTCTGTCACTTTGATGCAAATGATTTAACTCCTCTAAGTTTTTTTTTTTTCTCATCTGCAAAATGGGGCCAATACTGCTGGTCTCATACTTGTGCAAGTTAAAAGAAATAATAGACCTAAATCAACTAGACTTCATAAATGATACCCCTTACTATTTGCCATGGTCACCATAGAATTTGATTCTGTGGTGGATCATCATGGGCTACTCTCCTTCCACAGATTATTCAGTGCCTTGAGGCCAGTGTCACATCTTGCTCCTTACTTCTTTCCTTCCTCCCCTTAGTGCTTCAGGTCACTGAAATGGAGGGAAATGGGTGACCCACAGGGAGACTCAGCAGCCCTCACGCCCGCCCTTTCCTTGCCCAGGGAGCAGTGGATCCACCTGCAAGAGCAGAGTGGTTACTATCGTTACCCAGGGTGCTTCTCTCCAGAGGCACCATCCAGGTGAAACCTCTTGCCACAGTGGCAGGTGACTCCCAGGTCCTAGAGGGAACACACCACCTGACTGGTGGCCCCAGAGATTCCTGCTGCCTTGACTGAGAAATCCCTGCTGAACCCTTTGCTCAGCTGGAAACGAGAATGTTCTTGGCACTTCTGTGTCCACGCTCCCTGAGGCCCCATGGCCATACTTGGTGGCTCACCACGGGCCAGTCAGCCCACCAGGTCCCTGTCCAGTCCACCCGTGAATGCATTCCCAGCAAGCACTGCCCCGCCCCCTCCAGCAGGGCACAAAGGCATGTTGACAGAGCGTGGCAGTCTCATTTGTAGACTCTATTCATCCAGCAGCCAAGAACGATCTGTCCTGATGCTCGCGCTCTCCCCTCGCCCGCCCTTCGCTTTCTGCCCCCACCCTGTCGCCCTTCCCTCTGCCTGGAGAGTGATTTGTCTGTGTTATGGGTAGGCCTGACAAACATTCCACATTAGCAGCTGAGATGTTGTTTGAAATGGGAAAATTGCTGGCAAACTGCTCCATTAGCGGTTCCAGTAACAAATACTCTGTTCCCCCAATGAAGATGAGATCGCGGAGGCACAAATTAATACGACTGTCTCCCCACTCTGCAGCAGGGATTACTCTTCAAGATGAATGGGTTCAGCCCCGCCAGAAATGTGCATCCACTAGATGTAGCCTCCGAGAGAGCCGGTTCCTCCCGCTCTCCCTCTTGCTCCCCACCACACCCCCTCCACACACCTTTCTCTGTGTCTTCCCAGCTGAGGGCTTAGGGAGCATCCGTGCTAAATTAGGAGGTGATGAAAAGATCTGAACCTTGGGGAGAAGGGAGATGGATGGGGATGAGATCCTGACTCCTCAGCCTGAGCCAGGTGTCATTCATCATCCATAATAGAGTGCCCCTCCTCCCGCTCAGGACCGCTTCCCACCACACCTGTTCCTGGTGACGGAAATTCAGTTGAGAAATGAAAGACTAAAGAATGGGAAGATGCACTTGCTCCCCATGGCTCCTTCTCTTCCCAGGAAGTTCTGGGCCGTGGGCCTGCAGCATCTCATTCTTTCCAGAGTAACAAGAGAAGAAGCCTTTCAGGAAGTCCACAGAGATTCCAGCAGCAGCCCAGAGGAGAGTCCAGTCTGGGTCCCTGGAGCCTGCTGGACGTCAGGAAGCCATGCTGGCCCGCGCTGTCTCCTTTGGGTCTCCCTCTCTCTCTCCCTGTGACTTTCTAAGCACTCTGCTTGGTTCCTTCCTCCAGCTCTCTCTGAAGGCAGCTGCCCCCAAAGGCAGCTTCCCCTCCCAGTCCAAACTCCTCCAGGACAGTCTCCCACTCTAGCTTCCCAGAAGACCCTTAGCCCCTGAAGGGTGCTCTGTTTACCGGACACAGCTCTCTGCCCATCGCAGTGTTTGACCTGCCTCCCACAACCAGCCTGTGATGAAAGACACCACCCTGTCCTTGAGCACCAAGGTGAACACAGTGGCCCTCAGGGACCATTTGCTGGCAGGAGGATGGTTAATGGAGTCCTCTGTGCTTTTTTCTAGACGTCTGGAACAGAATTCCATCAGATCCATTCCCGCAGGAGCCTTCACCCAGTACAAGAAGCTGAAGCGAATGTGAGTGGCCACTGGGGAGCATTGGGCCAATGTCTTGGGGCGAGGGGGTGGGGGCGGGGTAATTGGCAACGTGTAGAAGGCAGCCTGCCCAGAACAGGTCAGCCCTTCCCTGCTGGGCACTCAGCTTTGGACCTGGGCTGCTCTCCTAAGATTGAGAAGTGCCCCATGCACGTTGGAAGGCACAGGAGCTTGGACAATTCGCTCAGAGCCTCTCCCACCAGAACAAAGTAGAATTATCTGTATGGGAGGAAATGGGTCCCCTAAAATCCATACATTGTTAATGTCCTTGGTTTGGTGATGTGAAACCCAGGGCCTCAAGCTTGCTAAGCAAGCATTCAACCCCTGAGCTACAACTAAAGCTCTGAAAGTAGGAGTTTCAATGAGACATGAGAGTGGCCTGCAGCTGTCTGTCCCACTGTCACCAACATTCCGACACGCATGCAGTCACATAACAAGTACTTGGGAAGTCTCCTGCCCTCAGAGCTTGGGGAGAGCTGTGAACAAAGCTAAGTCTGTACACAGACAGGGAGCCTCCACCAAGCGGAGAGCTCAGGACATAATGAACATCAGAAACTGGGAAGAACTAGAAGTGAAAAAGAGAAATAGAAGGAGAGAGAGGACGATGGCTGTGGCCTCTGTGGAGGTGAGCAGTGGCTCAGAGAGGACCCTCCCAGCCGCAGTGCAGGTGAGGGAAAGGCAGGCCAGCTCTCGAGGTGGTCAGGACTGTGGGAGCCCCCAGGCCACAGACAGGACTGTCTAAGTGAAATCAGAAGCCTGGGGGTGTGGCCAATATACAGTCATATGACTGAACCAACACCCCACAACACTGGCCAATCTCACCTCCCTGCTGTATCACACCAGCCCGGGAGACCCCGGCACAGCTGTGCCTTCCTCACCATAGCAGCTTGGCAGCACCATTGTGTCACATCCTCCTTCCCACCATAGTGACAATGTTGTCATCCTTCCCCTCACATGCCAACCTAAACATTGGTCTGTGAGTCACTCAGCACTGGACACGCTGAAGAGAGGTGGTGGTAGGATTCAAAAATGCCATCACAGATACCAAGATTCTGGAGGGAGACCCCTTCCCTTTTGCAGGCTGAGAAATGATTTTGTCTGTCCCGGTCATCAGTGGGTTTCATTCCGCTTACCTGCTCTCTCTGCCCCGCCCCCACACACAGGAAGGAGAGAGGACATGTAGATGTACACATGACTCAACCCTGTTTTTCCTTCCACGCCAGATTAATTCTCTGGTTTCTGGAGTGGGAGTGTATACACTAAGGATCTCTGCTGATTCCTTTTACGTTAAAAATAAACATCCCTGTGGAACAGTGGCATTAGTAGCTTTACCCCCAGATCTCAGGAAGCCAACTTCCCATCTCCCTGGAAATCCAAAGCAAACAAGATTTTCTCTTGGTTCAACTCCAGACGTGGAAACCAGCAGAATGAGCCAGCTCTGAGGGCAGCGCCTCCCTCCCAGGGGTAGCATTCCTGCTGGAGAAGCTGGATAAATATCAGCCTTAATATTTAAAACCCGTGGCCATTAATCTCCGGGTGTCCCTGTGCCCCAGCACACTCTCCATACACCCCCCCCCAATTTTTAAAGCCCAGCTTGATTATGCATCCGGATAGTAATTTCAGTGAAAAATGACAAGTTCATCACTGCCCCAACCTATATCTCTTGCATGATTTAAGTCACCGCTCTAATTTTTTGTGAAGTCCAGGTAATTTAGAGCTTGGCTGTGTTTTACCATCCTTTCTCCATCCTATTGGAGTTGCCATGATAAGTGCATTCAAAATTCATGAGACCTTCTCAGTCATGACCTGGAAAGTGATTTTAATTTTTGATCATTCTGGTACTGCTGATATTTATTATGATGCCCTCCCTGCCCCCCAAGGGAATTGTAGTAGGGAAAGAGCCCACTAAAACATTTTTGACTAATAGAACTTCAGAAATCCAGACTGAAGTTTAATGGCTTAGGAGAAGCCAGGTCCCAGGTGAGGATGAATTTCAAGTCCCTAAGTATGCATTCCTCCTTGGTGCCCATGACCAATTTATTCCTAATATTTACCAGAAGGAAGTTTCTTCCTCAACTTTCAATGAACCGCATCCTTTTCTAGTCTGTTAACAGCAGATTAACCACAAATGGCTGTGTTCCTACCTATTTATGGTGGTCACCTGGGTATTAAAAAAAAGCATAGTTCAACAGTAGCGCACTTGCCTGGCATGTGTGAGGCACTGGGTTCGATTCTCAGCACCACATATAAATAAATAAAACAAAGGTCTATTAACAGCACACATATATATGTATTTGTGTGTGTGTGTGTGTTGTTAATAGACCTTTATTTAAAAAATATATTTAAAAAAAAAAAAAAAGAAAGAAAACACTTTCAGGGCCAGGAGCAGTAGTGCACGCCTGGTAATCCCAGGGGCTCAGGAGGCAGAGGCAGGAGGACTGAGTCAAAGCCAGCCTCAGCAATTTAGCAACTCACTAAGCAACTCAGTGAGACCCTGTCTCTAAATAAAATACAAAAGTAGGGCTGGGGATGTGGCTCAGTTTTCAAGTGCACCTGAGTTTAATTCCTGGTACAAAAAAAAAAAAAAAAAAAAACACTTTTAGGAAAAAATAGTATCAAGGTAGAGAAACCATCTGTCTGGAGAGAAGAAGGCACTGGAGACTCAGCACAGGTTTCATAGAGCTGATCCTTGGGAGCCTGACACCTGGGAGCCCAGCCTGTGTCGTTTAGCCTGACTGGTGTGTGGAGAGTTCTCCTCAGCTGCATGCTCTTAAGTGGAACAGTCTTCCATGGGCTTCAGAACTTCTAGTGCTTCACATTTAAGTTCCTGGCTTCAGCCTTGTATGCACTTGAAGTTGCCTTCTTTGTTCCAAACAGTCTGGAAAAGCCACTCCCTCTTGGTCATCCAGTTTATAAGCCCCAGGGGATTAAGGTGGGTCTGAGACTGACCAGAGTCTAAAACCCTGTGGTCTAAAATACGACTTGGGGACCACTGACACAGAAATCTTCTGGAGCTTTGTTGACTATGCAAATTTCTGTCCCCCAAACCTCAGCCTACCACATCAGACTCTCCGCGGGTGCATTTGACTAACACCCTAGTGAGGTTTGCGAACCACTGGACAAGAGTGACCACAGTGCTCAGTCAGTTCTAAGGCACTCGCTGTGGACTGCTTTTTCCCAGCATCCCCAGGCTGCTTACTGACTTGCTAAAATGCTGAGGCTGGCTTTGAACTCTCAGTCCACAGCGAGAGGGCCAAGCCTGGCGGTCAGCAACAGCTGGAACCTTCCCCTGTCTGCCTTCCTGTCCCGAACCAGGCATTCTGCATCCATCATAATGAAATATCAGGAAGGGCCTTGACCTGGGTGTCAGGAGACATGGGACACCCACTGTATACCCTAATGACTGTCAAGTCACTGTGGCTCCAGGCCCTTGACCTCAGGGCTGCTGTTTTCTTCCTGCAGAATTAGGAATTGAGACAGTGCACTGATGCATGGAATCTTAAATCCAACTCATGGAAGCAGAGAGTAGGGTGGTGGGTAAAGGCTTATGGTAGAGGTAGGGTGGGGGTGCTGGGAAAATATTACTCCAATGATGCAAAATTTCAGTTAAACAAGAGGAGAAGTTCAGGAGATCTTTTGTGCAACATGGAGATGATGGTTAATGACCACATGCTTGAGAATTGCTGAGAGTAGATTTTGTCACATGTAAGATGTGTATAAGGTGATGCACATAGTTCAAGAGCTTGATTTAGCCATGTTACCGTGAATATATTTTTCAAAACATATTATGCACATAAACATAAACATCCTTTTAAATTTTTTAAGTTGGGGGGAAATGACAAAGTGACTGCTAGAGTCAATTCCCAACTGAACTGTCTCCCTTTTCCATTCCCCATTCTCCAACACCTCCCTGGGGCATCCTACCCCCGCTGCAGGAAGAGTTGGGGCCAAAAGTCTAATTGTGGGCAGAGAACAATTTGCTGTCACAGAGCTAAAGCAAAAGACTCCCTAGAGCCGGGACTCCCTCTTGTCTGTGAGAGGTCAGAGTGCCTTGAAGGGACATCCCGTGGTCAGGAAAAGAGTCAGAATAGGCCCTGTTCCTAGTCTGGTGTGAGCAGATCTGCTTGTTTGCCTGCAATGCTTTGCTAGGCAGCCGCGCTGAGGGCGAGCAAGATTAGGATAATCCGGGGAATTTGCTTAAGACCCTTATACAAAAACGGAACGCTGAAGAAAAGCCCCACGTAAGCTGGGGCGTCTGGGTGTGATCTGCGGATTTGTTAGAGGCAATCTCCCCAGCTAAAGGGATAAACGAGGCAGCTGTGCCAGAGAGCTCGCATCCTGTGAAGTACCTTTCAACTTACAGCTTTGGAACAGGGAGGCAGAGAGCAGAGGTCTAGGCAAAGGTGTCCTGCACCCCTTTCTAAGGCTATTAGACGGACTAGGGGAACAGCCTGGGGAGGCTCCCCTGCATGTGCTTCAGAGACTGGGAGGCTGGCCTTGCCAGGGGCAATTGCTTAGAATCTGCTCCGATGTTCTTTATTCTCCATATCTATTTGTCTCCTCCTTGTTGACCCACCAAGACCCCAGCTCTCCCTCTCCTGAACAAAAGCAAGGTACCATTGATTTATTTTGCTAAAGAAAAAAGAACCAGAGAGGCTTGTTGTTGCAGGAAATTGGAGCATCTCTCCTTCCAGTGACAGGAGCCCAAAGGCCAGCCCTGAGCTAATGAGTCTGAGGGAGAGAATTCCCCTCAGTGAAGAGCCATTAGCAAGGACCAGAGACCAGGAGCTCAGAAGTCCCCAGGCAGCTTAAAGCAGGCAGCCTGAGGGCATCTGAGAAGGAGGTGGGGCAGGAGGGCAAGGAGGTTCCTCTGCACCTGAGAGGCCAGGTTAGCCTCCCAGTGGCCCGGTGTTTGGAGAATCCTTCCAACACAGCCACCCACCAGCTCTGGACTAGATCACTTCCGTGTGCTTTCTCCCAAGGGAGGAGCACTCCAGCAACAAACCCCACCTCAAAGGCGTCCACTGAATATCCCATGATGTGCTTATATCAGGGCCTGGAGGACACATGGAACCAGACAGAGGCTTAGGTCCTTCTTCAAAGCCGCCTCTCAGTTAGGGAGGAAAGGTCAGTGGGAGACAAAATGACAAGGTCTTCCTGGGAATTAGCGAGCACATGCCCAGGTGTGAGGCAGGAAGGTGATGCCTGTGGTTGGGGAGGCTGGTTTCTCTTTCATTTGTCACTAATACTTGATAATAAGACCTAAGCCAAAGCTCTAAATGCAGCTTTGCACCAACAAAGTGAGGCCACGCGGTGCCCAGCCACAGGTTGCAGCAGAGACTCCGAGGGGAGCATTCTGTGGCGAGGGAGACTGGTACAAGGGCAGTGCCTTCCACTGGGCAGGGAAGCAAGTGTTCTTGAGGCGCCTTCTCCTGCACTGTGAATAAATGCATGGCTTCATTGATCAACTGATCCTCACCTTTTGAATGCCTGAGCTGCCCAGTCCGTACGTAGAGGCGGCAGCTCTCACACCTTCAAGCTGCGTTCTCAGACTCTCCCATTAACATTTCCAGAGACATCAGCAAGAATCAGATATCGGACATAGCTCCAGACGCCTTCCAGGGCCTGAAGTCGCTCACATCGCTGTAAGTGGGGCTGGGGGCTGGGGACAGAGGGCAGGGGGCTGGGGACAGAGGGCTGGGGGTGGGGTGGAGGTGGGGGTGGGGACTTATCTTTTCCAGGAGGTATTCACCCAGCTTTATGCTCCCCTACACACTGTGGCAGCCTGGCAAGAGAAACAAATATTTCTTTGAGAGAAATTGATCTTGGGGAATATTTCTACAACTCAAATGCATTATTTTTATTGATTAAGTGCCCGGCGGCTTTCCCAGTTATTGACTTCTAATTCGAATGCATCTTTGCCCCTGTCCTCGCTCCCCCGCCTACTGACACGCCGCAGCAGGGCTGTCTCTGGGGACAGCAGGAGAGGATAGTGACCGTGTCTGTTACCAAGAACCCCTCGCCTCCAGCCCCTCCCCTTCATGTGGCCCTGCTGAAGGACAGACTCTTCTCCTTCTGCTAATTTGGGTGTTTTTCTCGAACCAACCTGGTGGCTGCTGCTCTGAGATGATGTCCATGCCATCCTACTGCCCATAGGTGTCCATTTTGGAGCCAAAGCCTCACCAGCAAGGGCCATGAGACACACAGGCACGGGAAGGGGATTCCTTTAATGGCTCTCCACAGTGGCTTCCTCAATGGACACTGTTTATATCGTCTGGTGGACTGTTCCCCTGCCTCCCGAAGCCCAGGGCCACAGGGGGCCCCTCAGAAGTAAACGGGCCATGTTCCATCTCTCCGTGCAGCAGTTTGCCTGATTCCCAAGTAAGGAGGTGACCAGCTCACATTCCCCACCTTACCCCATCCCGTTGTGTGGCCTGGGGACAGGGAATCGCTGGGGTGGCTGCTGCTGCCTATGGAGTAAACTAGCTTCATGTACCAGAACACAACATCTTTCTGGGATTTCAAAGCAGGGCAGTGTGTGGGAACGGTGCCTGTTTGTCGTGCTGAAGACCACAGGGGAGAAGCAAGAGAGGGGCCTGCCACCGTGGTCCTACCCCTACCTTCCCGTCCCCCTTTTCTGCCTTCCCTCAGCTGGGATTTAGGAACCGTCTGAAAACAATTGCCCAACATGAGATGGCACACCACTAAGCCCATGTGACAATGTGTCCTGGGTGTGGTTGGCGCCAAATGGCTCTCACCTCCAATGTAGTCATTCATCCATCCAGCATGTGCCTGCCATGTCCTGAACAGTGACACAGGCACCGAGACGATGGCCTCCTGGAGCCGAGAGTTGAACATCCACATATCCATGCCCAGCTCAGGAGTGGCCACTGTGAAGGGCCAGAGGGCCTCTACCCACCCTGCTCAGACACTGCTTCAGCAGGCATTAACTAGGTCACACCCTGTCCTAGTCTCAACTCTAGGGACCCAGCCGTGAGCAAGTCACCACACCCATGAAGCTTATGTTAATGGGAGGAGGTAAAAAAAAATAAAACAGGATAAAATAATAATAGATATGTTAATAATATAACAGAATAAGGACCAGTGCTGTGAAGAAATAAAATAGGGCAACAGGTTGTAAATAAAAGAAAAACGAAATATTTAGAAGCCCCCAGAGAAAGAGGTTTGAGCTTAGACCAGAAAAGCCAGGCAGGTGCACACACAGGTGCCCCTGAGGTGGCACACAGGCTGGTCCCTTGAAGCACAAGGACAGTGGAAGGACCCACCCCCAAACCCCCAGTCCCACCATCCACCAGCTCTGCCCCATTAGAAGTCCTGACGTCCACCGAGATGAGCAGACAGTGGCATCACTCCATTGGCACAGCGAGCGGTGGGACATTAATATGAATTACAAATGCGAGTCTGAGCCATCATGCTGACTTCTATTTAGTCATTAATTTGTTGAAACATTAATGAAACACACCCGCAGGCTGCTGGGGACACTCGCTCTTTACTCCAGTGGCATCTAGAAATGGGGGGTTTGCTCTAACACTTCCATTTTCCATTTCCTCACCCTAATATTTTGGCTCTTCAAATGAGTGTCACAGCCTGGATTTGTGGTCAGAGTGGAAATTGAATGTTTCCCTCATTCTGTCACCTTGGGGCCCCGTGGGGGTGGGGGGGAGGCTTTTTTAAAAGCAAACAAACCAAACCTTCCTTGGCTCAGTTGCTTGGAGAGTGACAGAGACAAGTCTGGACAGGAGACAGAAAGTCTGTGACCAGGGAAGTGCAGGAGCCAGGAGGGTCTCCTGGGCACCTGTGCTGAGGAGCAACATGACCCAGGCCCAGAGACCCTCTGGGTGCAGCAAGGCAGGAGGTTCCTTCCCCAGGCCTCACAAGGCGCCCATGATGGGGCCTGGGAAGAGGAGACAGCAGCATGAGACCCTGTGGGCCTGACAGAGAAGCAAAGGGTTCTGAGTTACCAGGTTCCTGGATCTCAAGGACTACCTTAGGAGTGGGAAGGAGCAGCTTCCATCGCTGGGAGACAACAAAGCTCCTCCGCTTTTCCTGCCAGCCAGTCCTAGGCCCAGCAGTCCCTGTGCCATCTGGAGATGACCCCAGAGAATTCCTAAAAGGAATTCCTAGGATGCAGTGGAAGATCTAGAGGAAGCAGTCTGTAGGCTGGGCTCAGCCTGACCGGTCCCCCTGGAAGCAGGCTGGCCAGCCTCCCCCACTGCTTGTCTACTGCAGGGCATGAGTCATGTCCGCAGCTCGGGGAGGCACCCCCAACAGGCTGCCTCTGTTGTGAATAATTTGTTGGGCCGGGCTGCCCAGGAGTGAAGTAGGATGGATCCTATCTCTCCTGGCTCCAGGGCGGCCTGCTCTGGGCTGCGTTTGTCCAGCTAATGCCCAGAAGAGATGAGGTGGGTTGGGGAAGGAGGTGACCTGCGATACTATGCCAGAATTGGCCCCACTGATGATGTCCCATAAGAGTAGGTTACGGTGGCCTCACATCATGGTGACAGCTGCCATCTGCTCTCTTCCAGGGTACTCTACGGGAACAAGATCACTGAGATTGCCAAGGGACTCTTTGACGGATTGGTGTCCCTGCAGCTGCTGTGAGTAGGAACCTTGTCACTGTTTGCATCTCTGTTTGTAGGCCACGGCCTGAAAATGGTGAGCCGTGCTCTGGAGAGTTCTTTTGCCTTTGTGCACTGTAAGGAAAGACTCCTGAGCTGCCCGTTCCTCACCTCCATTCCCGCCTTTGGTGAACGGAGAGCCAGGGAGTTGGCAGAGGGATGCTAAGGTCAATGTGCACAAGAGTGACCCAGGCACGAGTTCCTAACCACAAGTTTGGGGCTAGAAAGTAAGAAAGAGTTGGATCTTCCCAGAGGAGTTATCTTGCAAAGGAAGGGTAAGAATTGAGAGAACTAAAACATTCACAGGCCAAATTCTGATATGGAAGCCAAAGCAGAGCTGCTGTAGACATCCTTGGAGAAGGATGGGTGTGGGCTGAAATAATTAGAGAAGAGCATAATCAGTCACCGCTGTGACTATCTGGGTAAGCTATGGCTGAATGGGAAAGAGTTTATTTAATTTGAAGGAAGATTTGTTGCCTTGAATGTTGAACTCTGGATTATTTATTTGCCTTTATTTCATGCTGGTCATCTGAGCTTAAGTGTTTGAAGAAGATAATTGGACTCTGATATGGAGAAGGAAGGAAAGGAATTCAGCTTATATTTTAAGATTTTATGATGAAGGCGCGTCATCTCTGGCTTGTAATTAGATAGATGTTGCATCTACATGTGGTAGTGTGGGTGTGGGACTGTATGGGGTGTGCATATGTGCGCGTATCTGCTCTGTGACTGTCATAATTCCTACTGGTATTGGGAACTGATCTCAAATATCCTGTGAGCAGTGGAGAATACCAAGTCTCAGAGAGGTCAATGGCTCCCCTTTAGTCACACAGCAAAATAGATGTGGAAGAGTAGAATAGAATTTGCATAGCCATGTGGCTCAGAAGCTCCCAGCCTTCCTAATAGCACATGGTGTGTTTGCAGAGTGTGCAGATAGTTAGGTGTGTGTGACTACATCTTCCTTTTATAGTCACAGGCAGTGAGGAAGAGGTCTGAGCCTTCTCTGCCTCCCATGTGCAGTTAAGAGGGGCTGTGGTTTGGGTTTGCAGGCCAGGAGTCAAGCTGGATCTCCGGGTGGGCGGGAGGCAAAGGAGCAAAGGCTTTTCCTCCAGCCTTTCCCATCTTGTACTTTACTGCTTACCCTTCCCATGTCCTTCAAGACTCGGCCCTGGACAGGTCCTCCTACGACAACACAATGATGTGAGTCAGGTTGGGATGAGATGCCCTGCCAGTCTGTGGGCAGCAGATCCATCAAGCTTGTGTGGCAAAGCTGAAAACCAGAGAGGACAGTCTCTCGGCACCTCCTGTCTCATTCCTTATGTCTCTATGTGGGCATTTCTTATTCCAAGGTCCCAGCCTTCAGTGGGCCTTCAAGGCTATTTTTTAGAATGGCAGGCTGGGCTCTGCAGGGAGCTGGGAGTTCCACAGATGGTGTTCTCTGCTCATGGCAAAGAAGCTGTGAGTTATAGCTGCTACCACAAGACTGGCTAACTGCAGCCATCAATGCCCCAGAAGAAGAGTAATAATACACCCGCCTAGAGGTATATATGGGGGTGTACCCCCCAGGCTGGTGTGATGCCCTTTTATCAGGTGTGTGTGTGTGTGTGTGTGTGTAAGGAAACTGCCCTGGCACCCACTAGGAGGCATGGGATGGCCATCAGTGCCCAGCACAGTGAATGGCATGAGTCACAGACTCCATACAGTCATATTTTAAAAGAAAGTCAGTGTGTCTCAGCTCCAAGCTAACATGCCAGTAGGTTTCTAGAACCAGCAGGACTTTGCCTGGGCTGGGCAGTTGGCTCCAGTTGTGTGGCACCATTTTGAGCAGATGGCATTGACTAGCTGGGGGTAAGAACAAAGCATCCTGGTCTCAAGGAGACCAGAAGTTGACACAACTCAGACGGCTTGCTTTCCAGAAAGAACCAGCAGCTGTTGGTTTTGACCTGCTGCTGAGCAGCTGGAGAGCAGGTCCTGATTAGATCTGACTCCGAGTTCAGCCAGCGTGATTGGATTTCTCCTGGTAGACCAGAGATGCAATGATAAGGCTCTATAATTCCCTCTCCTTTGACTTGAAGGCTTTTTGTCAGAGGTTTGTCCTTTTTCTTCCCTCTCCACCTCTCAAATGATTGACGGATCACTAAGCGGAGCTGTCTCTGCCACAGAAGTGGTCCTGAACCTTTCCCTTCCAGCACTCACTGTGACACTAACAAGTAGGCGCATGAGAACTGGTTGTGCTTCCCCCACCCTGCTTCCTCCCCATTTTTCTGGACTTTTCAGCCATTTCTCCCCAAATGCCTAGTCTATCATGTACCCAGCCAGCCCCCTGGAGTGGTTTTCTTGGCCTGTTCCTGTGTACAGGTGGCCAACACTAATAGTAGAATATTCCAGAGTTTCTCAGCAGCTGCAGCAAAAGTATCTATACAAACAAGTTTTCACCAGCCAGGGAATCCAGGAGGTGCCCCTAAACTGATGCCCTGCCTGGAGACCCACAGGACTGCCTCCTTCAGTTTAGTCCCAAGGTCTTAGAGCTCAGAGCAACCTCAGAACTCCAAGCCTCCCAGCTGGCTGGTGCAGAGTCCCTCCCGTGCCTCCTCTGACAAATCCTCCTGTCACCCCTTTGCAGATGGTTTCTGTGATAAGTGCTCACTGCGTATTTGGAAGTTAGAAAGTACTTTCTTACACTAAACCTTTTCCTGGCTTCTGGGAAACTCAAAAGTCTGTCGTCATTGTCTTCAGATGTTTGGAAATAGCCACCATGTCTGCCTGTAATTACTCCTACACATGCTCGTTTCCTGCAGGCATTCACGGTATGAACACGTATCTGTTGTTTATTACCACCAATGTTTATTGACTTTGGGGGATGCAAGATAATCTAGCATCTTCCCCCCTTAAAACAGGCTGCTAGGAAGTGACCTGGGTGCCCATTTGGACAACAGGAAGGACATTTAGAACTGAAACACCCCACGTGGATATGTCCCAACCCACAGTTAGAGCAGCATGGCTCATGGGGCAGTCGCTCCCAACCCCATCTCCTCTATTCCCTCCCTGCCCCCAGGCTCCTGGGCTCCTGGGACATCTGTGGAGATGGTGGCCTGAGTGGGGGTAAGCTGGCGTGCCCTCAGGTCCCTCGCCTCACAGCTCAGAGGCTAGAACCAGGCCCAAAGCAGGGAAAGTGGTCAGCATGGCACTGAGCTGTCATTCCCGCCTCTGATGGACAGCTGCAAGCTGTGCTGTCACAGCTTTCCCCAGGGAATGCAGAGCGTTCATTCAGTGCCCGCTGATTACATGGCGTGCCCAGGGGAGTCACCCACCAGGGCGGAGGGTGGCCACTGAGGTGGAAGCTTTTCCACCTGCCCCAGGAGGTTTGACACTGAACCAGGCTGTCTTTGGGCTGGAACAAATTAAGGCCACCCCACCTGTTGTTCCATCTTCTTGGAAGGCAGACAAAACCATTTGAGGCTCTTGGAGTTTGCCAAGCAACATGGCAGTTCCAGAGCAGTGAACAAAACCTCACTCCATATAGCTCACTTTCCCCCACCAGCTGTTTCACACGAACCACTCCCTCTTGCTCCCGATCATAGGAGTAGCTATTACTGGATTCCTGATACACTCCAGGACCTGTGCTGGACAATTTCGTGCCCCTCATCTTATTTAATCTTTACAACAATACTAAGAGGAAGGCATTAACAAAAGCCCTACTTTACAGAGGGGGAAACTGAGGGTTCAGTAACCTGGCATGGTCACTCAGCATGGAGGGAGCCAGGACTGGAAGCTGGGCAGTCTGACTCTAGAGTCCATACCCTGACCCACAAAACATCCTTCCAGAGACCTCTTCTGACCCAGACATGGGGAGGTATGCAGAGCCAGTTTTGCCAAATGCAGAAAAGGAATTCCCAACTGGCTCAAGCCCAGAAGAAGCTGCTGCTGAACCATTGATCTGTTCCTCTTATTGTGCCTCAGTTTCTACCCTGGGCTGCTGTCTGTGGGAACCTGACCTGGTCACTGTCATCCTCCTGGGGAGGGGTGTGCCCTGAGCCCCATGGGAGGCAATTGGGGAGCCCTTGTTCATGGAAATGGCTGGGTTGGGATGAGAGAATCCCTCCCGCAGTGGAAACAGACCCACTTGGTGGCGCGTCCCTGAGAAGGGGCTTTTCCCTCTCATGAGCCTGGTGTATTCTAAGGAAAGCCTGGGAGACCTAAAATCTGTTATGGTCATGTGCCCTCCTATGTCCCTGGAGTAGAAGGAGGTCCTGTTCTTCAGACAGGCCACCGAGTGGCTTTGCTATTTCCTTCACCTCAGGAATCACCCTGACAACTCACAGCCCATAATAACAGTGCAGCCATCATCAAGACAGAAGGGAGGAGTTATCTCTGCTCCTAAGTGGTACTTGGGGAGCTCCTCCTGTTTCCTCTCATGAGCCGCACGATGTGGTCTAGAGCATCCTTTCACAGCAAGAGAAGGTTCTGGTCAGGGTCAGAGTCATAGATAGGATAACTCCAGACATCTCTGAGTTCCTCCCCATGCCCAGTAAGTCACTAAAGGTGGGAAAACATCCCCATATTAGTAGAAGGATGAGAACAATGTTCTTAGGTCAGAGTGGTCCTTAGTACATTTAACGGATAAAGAAATGTGGGATGGCAGAGGGCTGGTTCTAGAAAACTAGACAAGAGGGAGAGCACATTAATAATGGAGGGCTGGCTCCGCCCCCTGCCATGTGGTCAGGAGGCCAGAGGAGCCAGGACCGCACTGACCCTTCATGCCCATGTGAGATGGTGCAAGAGACACCCAGAGAACTTTCTTCCTAATAACGAAGAGACTTTATAACCTATTCTTTAAACATTATTCTCCCTCTGGAGGAGCCAGAAGGCCATGAGCTTCATTTCTCCATGTACCTGCACCCGGTGTCTATGAGACAGAATCTGACTCCCAGCCTGATTTTAGGAGAAGGAGGTCCACAGAGCTTTCCCCTGGCAGGTGCTTG